AATCACAGCAAGAAGCATGATATCCATAATCAGTACTCCCATTAGGCCTCGTGATAATTTAGATTGTGAGCCGGATTTTCGAACTTGTTATTCTCGGGATCGAACGAAATGCTTGATGATCATCGGAACATTCGTTCGAATAGACCAGACTTCGCTAACTCGCGGCTTGCCACATTACGTTTGCAGCTCGTCAGATAATTTTTATGAGCGCATTAGTAGTAATCATTGCATCAGGGATATTGCATTTCTACATTTGCTAGCTAGTAGTTTAAGAATCATCTGGCGGTTTGCAAAAAATAATCTGGTGGGTTAAGAATTGGTCAGGCCTGCTACAGATCGAGAATTGAGTGGAGCAGCAAGCTGAGTTGCGTTAAATAAGTTCTACTTGGTCATTCCTTTCGTGGGATTTTTGAGTTATTTCTGTGTTCTATGTTTAATATTCTATATTCTAGAAATGAAATAAGATTTGTCGGGATGATATAACGAAGCTTTAGTTCAGGGACTGAATACCGACATTATTTCGACTGCGATATTGTGCATATCGTTATTTTATAATAACGGTACGACAACAATTTCGATATAATACAGATATTAGACGCTCAATACCTTTTTATACCGAAATTATAAATACCAGTATATGCAATACTGTAATTGAAATAATTTTGGTATTCAGTCTCTGCTTTAGTTTGACTTCAATATAAAAAGTTGTGAATTAACAAATTTTACCGTTGTCCCTACGATTTGTTAATATTGTAAGTCTGTAAACGTCGATCGAAATATCGTTACATTTGTTAATTTTTGTGCAATCATCGATAGTGATGAGAACAAATGTAATAGTTTATGTAATATGTCTAAAAAATACTCCTTCGTGAGGTCGTACGGTTTTTCATTTACAAAAGGAATTTATCTTCTTTTGTCTAAACTATTCTACTGTGAGGAATTTAAATATTTTTAACATATAGTTCAATAATTATATGTATACATACTTTTAAAAGATATTGAAGGCGAAATATGAACCGAAAATTTCTTTGGAATAATCGATGAATCAATCAGTTTAATCTACTTTTCTTGATTTCTGTTTAATTTCCGAACAGTTGTGGTTTATGTTTCAGCGTAACAAGGACGAAATACATCTTTATAACAAAGCAAAGACGATAAATATACGGATAACGAAGAATTTAAATCGATTAATCGCGCTAATTTAATGGACAATTTTGCAATGTTTACGTATATCTATGTAGAATATATTTATATGTAGTATATATTTATATGCACGCGTCGAGCGAAAAAGCGAATTATGTGGACATCTTGTACTATGAGATCTGAAAAAAGGGAATTTGTCTTCCCCTCATGCGTTATCGTCGAGCTCGTTCACCTTCGCACAATGCTTATATTAACGCGCGTATAATTATCTCAGAAACTTAAAATAAATACAGGTTCACAAATCACGAGCGTTCGTTTCTCCTTTTTCTACCGAGGTGTTTCCTAAGTTTTCTTTACGGCCCTCAGTACTCGAGTTTATTTCACAGCCTTCAAACCTGCACCAAAGTCTTGATTCGCGGAGGACACCGTTGGAGCGACATAGCGGAGGCAGATAAAATCGAGAAGCATCAAGTATTTGATTCACAGGTAGTGGTATTACGCAATGTAGAAATTTTAAGTGATGTTACACGAGATGATTGAATCCAAGATCGATCTGATCGATCTTCCTCGCTGATGTACCATGATATGATTATGTGATGCGAGGTCGAAGCACGTCAGCTTCGTTTCGTTTTCCCTCGATATTATGGTACATTGAAATTAATTTTTCCCGACGTCTGACGAACATTGAAGTCGCCTAGCGAGACTCGTTGACGTCGTCGATACCGAAGTATCGGCAAAGTCGATCCTATCAGAACTCGTCGGATACGCTTACGCCCGTAATCACCGGTTGTTCCTACTAACCGATATGACATTGTTGTTTCAGCTGTTTCGTGGCCTTACAAAGGATATGGATACGACACCGGCGACCCGACGTTGCATCTGGAACGAGTTGATGTCATGGTAGAAGCGCGCGGCAGGGACTACGTGTGCGCGGTCTGCAGCAAAGGATACGCGGTGAAGAGGTCCCTATGGCGACATCAGAAGTTTGAGTGCGTGAATGCAAAGCCGAAGCTTAAATGCGACGTGTGCTCGTACAGGAGCCCGCACAAGTGGTGCGTCGAGAGGCACAGGAAGAAGCATCACGGCAGCTTCCGCAATCCGGCTGGCTATGGCTCGTGAAGTATCACGAGCATTACTCCCGCGATTGCGCGGCTGGGCGTGCTGAGTCGTATTAAATAAATTCTGGCTGGTCGTTAGTATCCTTTTCGATGCAACCCTGCGCATTTAATTCCTGACAGTGCTCTGTCTTCTAGACATAAAGTAAGATTTTTTTATGATGTCATTAAGTATATTAAATTGCTGGCTTCGATATAAGCCCGAGGTAGTGAATTTTATATTCGGCCGTGCGCCTTGGTTGAAAAACGATTTAGACACGACGAAGTCGGGAGTGCAGCGAACTGCGATCTTGTCCAGTGCCCTGTAAATCAAGGCCCGATAGGACCCGATGCGGCCCTAGATACATTAACAAATATAATTTAGTCTTATCTATATCCGTTTTGGTAAAGTCAGACCCGAATATGGCCTAGACCAGTTTCGTGTTAATAAAACGATCCGGGCCAGATTCGGGTCTAACTTTGCCAAAGCAGATAGGATTAGGTTATGAGAGGTCGAGGTAAGTTGGCCCTGATGAATTATTTCTGCTACTATCTGGCAGATTACAGAATCAAGCAAGTAAGGATTTCATAACTATCTTTGACATGTTTGAAAGCTCTGCTTGCTCAATTCTGTAACTTATTAGAAAATAGGAGAAATAATCGATTAGCCAACTTACCCCTTTAGTCCTTTGTTTATATTTGATAATTCATTGAGCCTTGATATGCAGGGCTCTGACATCATCGTTTAAACCGCTTTGCATTCAACTGTACTGTATGTGGCCAATCACAAGGTTGGAATGCCTTGTTTTTACGATGAGTTTCGCAACGCATTTCATATCCAATAGAAAAATGTGTTTCCTGCGAATTGCCAAAAAACAAATTCTCCTATTAGACATGGAATGCGATTCGAAACTTATAAGAAAAAGGTGTTGCTATTTTCTCTTTCTCTTGTGACTGATTACACATGATATCGTCTTGAGTTCTTAATTATTGAACGTCATCATTTTTTTTTTATTTTTATGCAATTATCTGTGGTAAAAGCATGTAAGGATTTGTATTTATTTCACGTAAATGTATGCGTGTGTGATTGATTTGAAAATTTATTTCTCGTATTGTTATCGTTCGTACGCATACTTATAAGTAATTTTATTTTGCAAAATATGCGTCGTATAATTATTTTTTTTTACTCATGAACATTTTTATTGTTATTTCGTTGGAAACTTCGCCATGAAACTTTTATACGTGTGTCGAATAATGTTATATAAAATAATGATTGTAAAATATGTTAAAAACTAAATAAATTGAAGGCTTATAACAGAGACGCTAAGTCCATCGTTACTCTGTTTCTTCGATTTCAGTTTAATTTCCGAACTCTTTATTTCCAACGTGACAAGGGCGAGGCTCGTCTTTACGCGAGAAAATACGCGGATAATAGTTGGAATATAAAATGAAAACTGACTGTATATTGATTTAATTGACAATTTTATAATATTCACTCGGCAGGCTACAACATCGACGGTCGACACAGTGACACTGATATCGATAATTAAAAGTACATGCGTTTAGCGACACGCTTGTTTGCGTGACGAGATATTAAAGAAGATACACTGTTCATTGAACGTTTATTTATATTATTCTTTCAGGAAAGTCAGAAGAAACGTTTTTATTCTTTGAAATATGTTTGTTCGTTAGAGCACGACCTTAACTTCATTATCGAGGAAAAATGTGAGAACACGAAATACGAGGAAGGGGAATCAGTTGATAGATTTATCTAGACGAGAAAGAGAGAACTTTTCCCGTTTGTTTCTTGGATTTTAAGCGTTAAGTTTCGTGGTAATTCCTGATCTTAGATACCGACAAGCGAATTTACACCCTTGTATATATTACTTTAGTTAATGAGTGCTTTAATAGAAATATGTTTGGCAGCTTGGTGAATTGACTTCTAATCCTTCTGATCCCAAATCAGAACTCCTTTTCTAGAACTCATAGAGTAGTGGTCTTTGTGTGAATTATTTGCGAAGTTTTTCCAAGCTTTCGTTGATTTTAGGATGGCTTTTGAATTCCGAGGGATGCACCAGGCTTTCGAAAAGAAAAGAAAAAATAAAGACTAAAGGACGATTTTCCAGTCTCCCTGCGGCGCAAGAGATATCCATTTGAGATTATCCATTGGAATCCGAAGTTTGATTTATGAGACCTCTTTCGAACTATCCGCAACACAAGCGCGGAGGTAGTTCTGTGATGCGCGACAATTCGTGGGGAACGCTCTGTGACGTTTCATAGTGTAGATAAGGCAAGAAAATTCCAATGCTCGTTCGCTCGAGAAAAACATCTGACGTGCACGCAGTGCTAGTATATAAAAAAAATATATATGAAATTACTATAAATTATTATAATCTGTGCAAATTTCACACCCTTCAACTTCCGCTCAATCTGCGAACGTGTAATTTTCCGCGATCATTGACATGTGCGACGTTTCAATCATTCGAATTTTCTTCACCTCATCGAATCCCAACTGAAAAAAGGATCGAGTTTACACGAAAGCTTGAGAGAGAAGCAAGCAATGTATCTCATAAATCGGACTGACCGCTCCTTCTCTCTCTCTCTCTCTCTCTGTCCTAAATACACGCGAGTGCTTCTTGACCGCGGCTCTGTCCCGACGCCGTTGTTTGTGGAATCCCTTTGCGAGGTTTCCGCGACAGCGCGACCGACCTCCGCGCGGCTCAACTAACTAACGTGGTTCCTCTGTTTCCAGCTTACCGGAAGATGTACATGGGCGATCAAGTCCTCGGCTACACTTGCACCATGTGCAGCAAGTTCTACAAGATGTGGAGTAACTATTTGAAGCACAAGTGCGAGCCGCCACAGTTCAAGTGCCCGCTCTGTCCGTTCGCCGCCTTCAAGGCTTTCATCCTGCACGCCCATCAGGCCGAACAGCATTTCAAGGTCACCTCGCCGAACACGTAAACCCACCGGCACACGAACCGGCGAGCTGGATTCAGAGGGAGAGAAGAACTATCGAATTGCCTTAGTCGTCGTTACGATTCCTCGTGGTTATCGTCGGGGCGAGCTCCCGATCGGAGTCCACAGCACCGATTGACGGCACGGGAAGATCCGTCAAGCGACTCATTTTGAACTCTCGACGACCACTTCTCCGAATAGTCCCGGTTAGGACCCCCCCCCCCCCCCNATAAGAAGAAATCCTCTCCGAAAACTATATTTTTCGTAAACTTTCACAAACTCGCCGCAAGGGTGATGAGGTAGTTTTCGAGTCGTTATTGTAGGATAACTCGACGAATCGCGCGTTAGTAATAATCTATGATCGGGTGTATTCGTGTCACCAAGAGGAGAAAAAAAGAAAATAAAGCAGCAGAAAGAGAAAATGATCAGATCTCGCTGGTGGACTGCGTGCGGACGAGCCCAGAGCCGACGAGAGCGGCGGGAAACGAATCGCTATTTAGTAGTGTGTCCCAATTTCTCCATAACGATTTGTTGTTGCGATCACGTAAGTATAAAATAATAATAACCGGCAATTGTGCGAGACAGTATAATGTGCGAACGTTCCTATTTCAATTTAACAAAAGCCGCGTAGCCTGATTTACCGTCGACTGTAAAGGTGTAAAAGACTGAGCGACAATAATAAAACTTATAAGAATGCGTTGTCTCATTCACATCTCGCGCTTCTAAATACAACGTGAATACTCGTGTCGCGCGCGCTTTCCCTCGTGGTCGACGAGGGACGGTGCGACCGCGGGAAATTGTTCATCTCGCTGCAGGATGCCAAGCGTCGAAAAACGAAACAAAACGTATAGTGTAAACGAATATGTCTTGTCCACCGAGGATCAGTGCTTGGGATCTGACGGTAAACATCGTCGCCAATGCTATATACATATATGCACTGTCGATTCTCATCGCATATATCAATCTCGAAATTTGATCCTGGCATGTCATGCCGGCCAGCTTGTGCGAACATGTTTATAAGGATAAACCGCATAATCCGTAGTATTTATAAATGCATGTATTTTCGTAATACTAACAATAAAGTGTCAGAAAAGTATTAGAGGCGAACACGAGAGTCTCATTTACGACGAGGGCTGACGAGATGCTTCACGTATGACGATCGTATTCCCCCGATCATCATTGAATCCCGAATCGAAGAGCTTCGCCTAATTATAAAAAAAAAAACAGAGAAAAGAAAGCAAAGGTTACTTAATTAGAAAAAAAGAATACGACTTTCCTTTATTCCGAAATTTAACAGCCAGATTTTAAGAAAAAAACAATTTATATATTTTTTTCTCATGAGATGCGTATGTGTGTGTGTGTGTGTGTCGTCACGAATGTTGATTTTCGGTGACACGAAGCTCCGTTTTACCCGTCGGTGCGTTTTTCTTTCCAGAATGACCTGTGTCATCCTCTATTCGTCTCTAAATGTAAATCCTCGTGGGATTCTTCCGACCGTAACTAACGATCGATCAAATGTGTTCTCTGTTCTAGACCGTGCGAAGGATTCGGCAGGGCAGCACGACTCGAACGAACTAACTGGTATGACGAACAACAACGGTCGGACGCGCAATGCTAATGTGCCGATACTTGTGCGGTGGGAGATGGCATGAGAGCATTGTTGACCGTCGCGATGCACGCGACCGAGGTGGCTTCTTATTCAAAGTCGCACTTTTCTTTCCGTTTCAGGTTTTCATGTGTGCTGTGAGTGCAAGAAGACGTACAGGTCGCGGATGGCGTTAAATCGACACGTGCGGGAGGAGTGCGGCAGGATTTTGTACACCTGCCCGTTCTGTCACAACATCATGCCGATGAAGTTCAATCTGTTGAATCACCTCAAGAAGGAGCACGGTTGCGTCACTAAGATTTAATCTCAGGGGAAAAGAAGCGGTCACCGACTGACTCGGATCGAAATTCCCTTTTCGAAAGAGCAAGGAAACTCCGTTACCTAATTTCACGTCGTAATCGGTGTCGCGGATTGGATTATGATTCAGTTACAGACCTGTTTCCAAAATGTTCCGAGAACTTTTTTTGTGTCACTTGTATACATGCACTGAAAAAAAAAAGTTATATTCAAGTAAATATTTGCCAAGGAGTATTGGAATAGTTATTTATTTGAATTAAATAAATATTACTTCAATATACACACTGAAAGAAAAAAGTGCTACACACATTCATGTAATATTTATTTAATCCAAGCAAAAAAATTACTCCAAATATCTCTTAGTAAATGTTTATTTGAATATAGTATATCTTCTTTTAGTGTAAAGAAAAGACATATGTTATTGCATCAGCAGAATTGGTCATAATTGTAGTGTCACAATTGCAGTGAATCTTCTTGATTGAATAGCGATATAATTAAATTTGATGTTCGAATTATCAAAACAATACGTAATGTATAAGTTTTACTAATATTTTTCTTTTATTGAATCGGAAAGATTTACTTTAATTATGTGGCGTCGTTGACCAATTCTATTGATACAACAGAGCATTTTTCTTCGTATAGACCCCGAGATTCTTGTGGCAAGTTTTCTTTGCAATGGAAATAATCGCTCTGCCGGACAGATTGCATATCAATTGTTATAACTAACACGTTCGTTGCTATTTGAATCGGAGGATTATTAATATTATGTCATTTAATGTAAATTTAACTTTGCTTATACTGCAATTATAACAAGAAAGTTTTCAAGTTTAACCGATCGTTGTGAGACGTGACACACTCATTTACAACGCAACGTTGTAAAACTAATGAAGGATTATATCTGATAGAAAATTTTTTTGCGGTTGGTTATTTTAAAAGAAGGTTATTTTGAGATTGGTTATTTTGAGAAGTCTCGGATATTAAAAATTTCAAACTTTATGTTGATCGCTTGAAAAATTCATGAAGCGTTATGTCCCTATTGGTACTTTGTTACCTCTAACTTTCTTATCTAAATTAAATTTGTTATTAACTTTAATATGTAATACTAGTGTTCTTATGCAGGAGTCCCGAAATTATCGCACAATATTTTAACAGCATATTTCAAAACTTAATATTATCGCACAATATTTTAATAGCATATCTCAAAACTTAATTAAAGAATATTCGTTTTTGGAGACCAAAGTTGATCTCCCTTTTCGATCGTGAGTGGTAGGATCCAAGCGTGTGAAATCAATTCGAATATTATTAACTCAATCAAGTCTACAAGCAAAAAATTATTGCGATATTTTTTCGGTCTCTTTGACTGCAATTAAGCTCTGCGATGAGCCATTAAAATATAATTTATTAAAATATACTTTCAAGACTGATATTATCCCAATATTGCTTGCTTACATAAAAAAAATTTATATATAATTCCAGTAAAAATATTTTTATTATTCAAAAATAATTTTTACGAATAAAAAGCAAAAGATATTGGATAGAAAGAGCGATATTTTCAAATTGATATAGTTCTTAGTACAAGAATATAATATTTTTAACGGAACTATATAGAATTTCTTTATGTAAATAATTTTTATCTTTATATAATATTATATATTCTTGTTCATATATGAGAATATGAGTCTTAAAATTGATACTAATTTTTTTCCGTGGAATAATACAAAAATTAAAAATCGAAAATCTACGATTGCAAAATCTATCAATTATTATGCACGAGCAAAATATAATTGTAAACATATTTGAAATTTCTCACTCTTCAACGAATGTAATTGTGATGTGTAAACAATTGAGAAAAGTTTAATCTTAGGTCTGTTTTTTTTCAAAACACTTCCTGCACTAGTGCACACCAGTGCAAGGAGTTTACACTAAAGCGTTCTTTTTATTGAGAATGACGTCATCATGACTTCATCAACGCTGTTCGTTTTCGCAGCGCAACAGCATGTAGTGCAAGCAGTTCAGTAAACTATTGCACTGAGTCAGGAGATAGTGTGGTCAGTGCAGTGCATGAAAGTGTAACTTGGAAGTGCACGTAAGCGTAACGGAAATTTATATGAAAAATCTCTATCAGGTATGTGGCTTGCATTATATTGAAATGTGTGAAACATCTTCTTTATTCCATTTTCAAAAATGGTTAATATTATACCATCACACACACATACACAGCAGTAATGTCCAAACATGCCACAAGGATGAATTTATGATGTCAAGATATCTTTATGATTTTATATTTATATTTATTTTATATTTAGTCATTTATTTAACATGTTGACGCCGGCACCGATATTCAGGGTTTTCTCTGTGAGGCGGCGCCCGAATGCATGGTCTGCTTCGTGGAACAGCGTAGCGTCAGATTACACTATTCAACACGATTTTTGCGCGGTAATACCCACTAGGTGATTCTTATAGATCTCGATGAGCTAAAAACGAATCTGAAATCAGTTTTTGAGAAAATCGATTTTGAAAAAAATCGCAATTTTTCAACTTTGACTTTAATTTATAACAAAACTACAAAAGCTATACGATTCCTGTTGGATTCAATGAATTCCGTGGACTGCATAAAAAATTGTATAAAAAAATTAAATAATTATGTTAAGTTTATAATATTGAATTGTTATATTTTTACTATTGAATGTTTGTTTATAATGTTGAGATAAAATAACACACTATTTTGTGAAATACAAGTGTGACCCACCGTGATGCACGCCGCCTCACGGGACAGGCACGTGTGACCCACCGTGATGCACGCCGCCTCACGGAACCGACACGTGTGACTCACCGGTGATGCACACCGCCTCACGGAACAGACACGTGTGATCCACCAGTGATGCACGCCGGCGTCAACGTGTTAAATTTATGATCGGTAGGGTATATAATATTATAAACTATTAATAAATTTGCTATATTTAGTTGTACATTACATTCATCGTTTTCATCTACAATGGGTTGTAATAGTGGTTGTATTACAACAAAATCCTCTCGTCAGAAGAATCAAATAATGCCATGTGATGCTGCATGTTGTTTACTACACTCTGGCGTTTCAGCGGTGCAGCGAAAACGAACAGACCTCTTCATTGCACTTTTGCACTGAACTGAACTATTCTCTACTAGTCTTTTCCAGTGCGGTTTTTCAGTTCAGTTCAGTGCAGTTCTAGTGTAGTTTTAGTGTAGCGAAAAATAACAGACCTCTTATTTTCGCGACGTATATTTTCTAGCTATTCATAGAATAGATAGAATTATATTCTTGGCGGGACATTCTACATATCAAATTAAAAACTAGAGCTCGTGAAGATTATAAAATCGCTTTTTTCAATCTCTTCTTAAGAAATAATGAGCTAGATGAGAAAAAATGTTGCGTTATCGTGTTTCGTAATATTTCATTTAAACTACTTATTTCACAATATTGAATTTAGCTTAATAAAGGATATCTTTCTATTTGCGTGTGCGACGTATAAGAAATTTCGGAAATTAATAGCTACGACGATTGCAAAAGTTGCCAACGCGAGAAAATTGATTGCGAATTTTGCGCTTTGTGATGCATTTCTGATGCATATTATTCACTGCCTGAAATTATTAGAGAATCACCGAATGTGTAGTTCCTTTGAATAATTATATGACCTGAATCAAATAAAAAAAAATAGCTAAAATATGTTTTAAAAATGTTTTTACATGTGAAAATTATATGTTATATATTAAGATGAAATATTGAATATATTTCAAATATTTATTACAGGTACCCGAAAAAAGTGATCTTTTGTTTTGAGCAAAACATTTCATTAGATGATACGTACATGCAGCAAAAGCCTATATGAGAAAATCTACAAATCGCATTGATTCGAATAAATTTTATAAAAATTCATCACCATTCATATTTTCTATTTGTCGCTATCAGATTGTGCATGTTTTTTATTCACTAAAATCACGGAACTCCGAGTTAGCTACGTTTCGTTTTCAATTTTGAAACAGAAAGATATAATTTTGCAGACTGGAGTTACAGGCTCAGTTTAATAAACAGTTGTGCGTGGATAAAGTAAGTTAGTCCTTTGCGATCGTAAATTGAGAATTTTTATTTCGACAAGTATATTTTAGCTTTGGACCACAAAAGATTAAATGAATGAATATAGGTCATTTGTAAAATTATTTTCGAGCCGACTCTGTTTGGTTCTAATCTAACCGGTACTGCGTCCGCTATCATTAGAACTGCAACTGTCTTTCCGGAGTGGCTGCATAAACCTCTTTAAATCTGAAACAGAAAATTTTTCTCATTAGTCATAACGATAGAGAGATCGCTCGGTTTCAATAATTCGAGAATAAGGAGGTATTCGGTGCGGATCGAATATCAGATGTACGAAATTCGACGTATATTTCCCTTGTAAGTCTAATAAAAATGTAATGTAACCACCCTTTCAATTTCAGGATGTTCTTGTTGCTCACAACGATCTAGGCACGATGATTGCGTTCGCGGAGTGTCGTAATTCTTATATACGTTCTATAATAAAAAAAAGAAAAATCGGAGTAGGCATGACATTGCTCGATATCAACCTCTAATAACGTATTTAATTCTAATCGCTGTCAGTACTAAAATCTGTAGTATATGTAATATAAATTATAGATTTCATTGGGCTTGTTTTTGAATTAGTGCTGCACTGAAATTTTGCTCTTTTTCCAATATTTTTCTGAAACGATAAGTCTTATACTTGCTTTACTTTAAGGTAAAAAATGTAACTTAGTTCAGCTGAAAAGAATAGATCTATAATACTGGTAACGATTATAATAAAACACTATCAGATTACGTTTACATGACAATACTAATCCGCTCCCCAGGGTCCGTTCGGGAAACGAACTATTAACGTTAAAGTATCATTCTATCCTTATTTATATCTAATGAGCGATAAAGACAGAATGATTTTTTAATGTTGATAACTCGTTATCCGAACGTCCTAAATCGGATTGTCGTGTAAACTTAGTCTATGACTACATTGACAATATTTATACGGCAATCTTTTAATAACAACCGTAATTAGTGAGTTTTTGCATCTGATTGAGGGGTATCATATTCTTTTAGAAATATACTTTAATTAAATGCAAGAGCTCACTAATTACGATTGTTATTAAATCGGAGTAACGTTGCTATATA